CCATCCACTGGGAGGATCGTCCAATGAGCTCGCCCACATTCAGGCACCACCGTTTTGTAGGCTGGCCCAAGACGCCTGAGAGCAGAGATGGCCGAAAGATCTCACCAGAGGATTTAGGTGTCCCCGAAGATGATCACAGAATGGTCGAAAAGCAGGCAGGGGACTCGGGTGGGAGCTACTCACCACGTTCGTATGAGCCAGTCTCCAAAGTGTACTTTGTCAAAATTGCGCTGCGCGGTAATCTTCTTGTGATGCTCAAAGTCATACTCTTCTTCAGTGACAACCATGGTGCGTTCGGCGCCGTTTTCATCAGCAGAGAGCTCGCCGTCGGGAGTGGGGAAGCCGTCGTCGGAACCATGCTCGCTATTGCGCTTTCTCTTGCGGGAAAGAAGGTTGGAATCGGTGGCAGTCGGCATAAAGTCAGATTCCGGTATCCATTCGTCCATGCGTTTATCTTGATTTACGTAGTGGACATAGACCTGACCCTGGCGCTGTGATACGATTTGGGCTTGTTCTGTTCCGGGAAGTCAGTTCTGCACAATAAGACAAATTCTGTGATGGATGCACGTTCTAGTCCATTTTTGACGACGATACCCATGGGTAGGTTGGCGGGGATCGGAATGGTGTGGGTAGCGGGCATATTTACTTCGCAGACGGGCGAAAGGTCTCGCTGCTCATCGTCTGCCACGTGAGAAAGCCGAGCCAAACAACGCTCCTAGCACACATTTTCTGTGCCTACAGTCCAGGGCAACTAGATATATGCTAATCCAACCACACAGCGTGGCTCCCACCAGTGAACTGTTCCGCCTCACTATCTGCGGCAGTTTCGGTGGAATAATAGTCGAGCGGGGGCCAAGCAGCGACCTCCCTCAAACGCGCCCCCCCACCGCGCCACAGCCAGCCGTCCCACTCGAGCACGCGCACGCCAGGATGTGGTGGTGAATCATCCGTAAGAAGGACCCACAGGGCCCCGTCAGGGTCGTCGGCCTTGGCCAGCAGATCGAGCGCGTGCGCCCTCCCGCCAGTCGTCATTGCTTCGTAACGTTCGACAAGATAGGGATTATTTTCCACGTCGCCCGCAAACATCCCCTCTTCATCTAGCCGCCACACACTGACCCAGCCGGGCGTCGTTTCGCCTTCGCCGCCCCGGGTTGTTGCGAAGACGCTTTGCGGCGCGCCTTGCTCTTGCGTGTATGGTGCGAGGAGTAATGTATCCCCGCGCCAGGTACGCTTCTCGCCATCCGCAGCCTGTTCTGTCCGCACATGCGGCGGGATCAGCGACCGCGAGGCGACGTAAGTCAAAACGCGCGCCGTTCCCTCGGGTGATGGTGAGGTGATTGTGTATACGTCGAGATAGTTTGCTGCAATGGCTTGAGATACACACAAAGGAACAGAAATGACACGGACAATGCTCAGTGACACAGTACAGGACACGCCCGTTGGGATGCACCTTGACGTGCCGGGGCCCATCCTCCTCCGCCACCCCGTCGGCGCGGTAAGGTGCCGGGCTCGACTCGACATGGGTCAACATCCCATCCGCTGCGCGAGTGTAGACCTCGATCGTGGACCCGCCAAGGACGGGGATGAACGCGAGCGCGGGCTCGCGCGCGGCAATTCTAAACTCCACGCCGTGCGCTCCGTAGCGCTACCGGCCTGTGAACACCGCGTCAAAGAGACAACTGAGCCGACGCACTAGGGCCTTGCGCGTCTTGTCCGCCGCGGCCCATTCCGCCTCGGGGACAAAGTAAATCTCCTGAACGTGAGACCCGAAGCCAGCCCCGCCCGCGGTTGGGAGCGCGTGCACCTGCGCGGACGGACCGCCGGCGGAGTAGAGGTGCGAGAACGGGGGCGGTACGGTGATGTATGACGAGGTTGCCGCTAGTCAACCTTAAGGTGGCTCGAAGGAACAAAAGGTTGCAGACCCACTGATATTCACGCTGTCAACAAATCGTACGCGGGGACCGTTGGGCTGCTGCGCTATCGCCCAGCTGTGGAGCTTCGGGGGAAGCGCCCAGCTCGTGGTATATGCATATCTCGCGTCACCGCCCTGCGTTTGGGGACCGAGCCCGATGTATTGATGGGGCCCATACCCGGGTATGGTCTGCACCAGCTCGAGAGTGGACCGGAGCGGCGAAAAGGCGAGAAGGAAGAGTGACACTGAGCGGAAGGAACCCGAAAGAATGTGGTGGGTGACATTAGAGGTTTGCTGAAAGGGAACTTGTACCAGAGGCTCGAAATTCATTTATCGCCAGATTGGGATGAGAGCGGTTGTTGACACTATGTATATTCAGTACAAACAACAGTTACATGCACATTCGTTTTTAGGTTGGTACAGGTCACTAAAACTTTGGCGACGTTCCTTGGTCGACACCGCTAACGCTCACTTAGAGGTGTACACCCCCAGGTTCGCGCGGAACTTGACTGCCTCACTCGCTGGCGCCACTTGCAACGGCTTAACAGTAGGCGCGCCGACCGCCTTGGCGATGCGGTCCGAAAGGCCCTGGTCGACGGCGGCCCAAACGGCGACTGATTTTAACGCTGAGTGAGAGGCGCCGAGCTGAGATTAACATGGGGACATACGCTGGCGGGCACGAACTTCCGTGCTCTTGACCTTCCCGAAGTGGCCAGCGACGTTCTGCACGTACGTCTCGCGCTGGGCGTCATTCCAAACCTTTGACCACAACGCACGCGGCTGTTCAAAGTCGACTGCAGTGCAGTGAGTGACGACCAACCATGACAGAGAGGAAACATGACATACGCTCGGTGATATAGCTGAGGTCGCGGAACGCTGCACCAACGAACGTCTCGTGCTTGGCCTCGCGGTCGAAGTCGCGGGCACCGCCCTCCAGCGAGCCAGCCGGACCATGGTAGCGAAGGGGCACGATCGTGCTCTGGTAGTTCGGACGCGCGCCCTGCGAAACGAATGCCATAGGCCCGTCGCGCTGGAAATTGGCGACGGGCACGATCGGCGAATTGACGGGTAGCTGCTGGTAGTTAACGCCAAGGCGGTGGCGGTGAGTGTCGGGGTACGAGAAGAGACGCGACTGCAACACAGGGTCCGCAGAAGGCTCGATGTAGGGCACGAGGTGCGACGGCGAGAACGCGCACTGCTCGATCTCGGCAAAGTAGTTCTGCGGGTTTTCGTCGAGGACCATCCTGCCGACGGGACGGAGTGGGAATTCTTTGTGCGGCCAGACCTTGGTAAGGTCGAGAATGTTGTAGCGGAACTGTTCTGCCTGGGCAGGAGTCATGGTCTGGACAAAGACGTTCCATGCGGGCGGATGGCCCGATTCGATCGCCTCAAACATACTCTCAATACCATAGTCAGGGTTTTCACCGGCGAGCTTGGTAGCCTGGGCGTCATTGAGGGTGCGGAAACCACCTTCGGCGCGTAGATGAAGCTGTGTATAAACGAAAGACCCATCCTTCTTGAACCATTTGAAGGTGTGTCCAGAATAGCCCTAATCGATTTCAGCACGACAAATGGCATGAATGACAGGTTGACATACGTGCATACGATGGTAGCCATCGGGTGTGCCGCGGTCGCTGAAAAGGATCATTATCTGGTGGATCGATTCGGGGTTCTGGCCGAGGTAATCCTGGAAACCATGGCGGGTCTGAATGGGGATAGATGCAGGTGGACTGGAGACGCACCCAGAAGTTATCAGCATCTTTGAGATGAGTCTGGGGATCGCGCTTCTGAGTGTGGATGAAGTGGGCGAACTTTGCAGGATCGCGGATGAAGAAGACGGGGGTGTTGTTGAAGACCCAGTCCCAATTGCCCTCCTCGGTCCTCAGCTTGAGCGCGAAGCCGCGAGGATCGCGAGCGGTGTCAGCCGAGCCGGACTCGCCGCCCACGGTGGAGAAGCGGGCGGTGACCCTGACTTTCTTGCCCTTGTTGCAGAGCAGAGGGTTGTCGGTGAGGTCGCTGAGGTCCTCGGTGACTTGGAAGTAGCCGTGCGCTCCGGCAGCTTTAGCATGGACCTATGCAATGGTGTGAGAAGTGATCTATCATCCAAGATATGGTGGGAGTGACTAACCACGCGCTCGGGAATACGTTCACCTGTTGAGCGGAGTGAGACGAGACGGGGGAATGGAGGGGAAAGAGGTGGACGAACGGTCGAAGTGAGCCAACGAATCGATGAAGTGGAAGTCCTGGAGCAGGAGAGGCCCGTGGAGGCCTACGCGCTGGGCAGCATACGGCTCGGACACGGGGGCGCCGTTGGACGTGGTGTAGTGGGCGGACTCGGCATCAAGGCTGGCAACTAGCTTAGAAGGCATGGTGGTTGAAGGCGAGGAGGTGGAGAGTGACCCCAAATCTTAAATACCACAACACTTACAAAATGGACCGCTGCGATTGGTTGCAACGGGGTCAGCTGATGACGCTTACCAATTTTAACACGTGAATGGAACGCAAGCGCCGAAACGCGCTAAGCTGAAGAGCGCTGGTAAGCTCTAGATCTCAGGCTGCTTTCGAGTGGATGAACAGGTGCAGATTATTGTGTAGATTAGATAAAATCAACACTGCCACCTGTCATCCTTATCTGCGAGCGTTGTTATCTGCGTCCGGGTTCAGAACCCGCGGAATGCCGCATTCTTCCCGGGGGCCCAGGCCCTCGCCCGAATTTACCTCATCCGGGGTTCCCAATTGCCCGAAGAATTCTGGCCAAATATTAAGCACTATTGGCTTCAAAAATCAGAGAAAATTTGTCCTCCGATAGCGCCTGATAGCGCGCACGACAGCCATCACCGCCGCATTCCGGACTCACCGTTGCCTCAATCTCAACCAGTATTCAAAGCCATACCGTAAAATACATGAGTCTTGAGAGCACCGTGTAGAAGAAACAAGCATTCCTCTGAGGTGCGCATATAGTGCGGTGATCCGCCTGAAGCGTGAAGGTGGCAAAAAATGGCAGAGGATGTATACGCCGGTGCGAACGGAAACACGGATTTTGGTTCTCCGAGATGCTTAGCTTATACTATTTGTGAAGCATAATATATCTCGACTAGTATATCGGTTTAGTACACGCGCCTGTCATGTGTCATGGTGCGCGCGAAAGCTGGGTTCGACTCCCAGGTCGAGAGTCTATTCTTTTTTTTTTTGATTACTCTAAAAAACTTTTCCCCCTTTTACGCAGTTGTTTACATTGTTTACATTGGAGTATCACGCCTCTGTCTAACTTGACCCGAACACCATGTAATTTACAACTTTAACTTTTGTGTTGGAAAGAGGACGATCGCAGGTCAGGTTGGTCGTCTTGAACTAACGTCTAGTATTAATAAATCCTCTCCCAGCCCCCCGGCGCTTTCTCGTTACAGTAGTTTACGCACTAGATATAGTAATACCGTGACAACAGCGGCGTATCTTATCTACTTGCTCGCAAATCGATCCAGCGCTGACGGCTTGCGCGGGCCGTCCGTCGTCACCTTTGCTAGCGCCCGCCGTTCTTCCCTCTGTCTCTCCAACTTCGCCCGGATCGCCACCGCCGTCGGGTCGATGACATTTTTGCGTTGCTTGCGTAGGAAACGTTTCACACTCTTCCCTTTCCCCCGCATCTTCTTACGTTCCTTTTCCTCCTGCGTGCGCTTCCGCTCGTGAGGAGATGTATCGTCAGGGTCCCCGACATCTGTCTCGTCCGCCCTGCCCTGTACACGTAGACGTTCCAACCGAGGCAGCCGTGCGAACGTCACCTCTCCCGCTGGTTTGCCGTCAAACGTCGTCTTCGTGGACAGCTTCGAGGGCGGAGCCAGTGAGCCGACGAACTCTGGGTCGAGCGTGATCATGTCGGGCTGGATCTACACCACCTATGAGTACGGGACGAACAAAGCCAAAGTACGGAACAAACTTTGTCGAGCAGCGCTTTCACCTCCTTCTCTCGCCTGGCCTTGGGGTTCTCGAAAGGATCCGCCTCCGTGGAGTCAAAGTTCGGCTCGCCTACCCCGGGGACCAAGATGCTTGAGAGTCCCGCGCCGTGCCCAATCGTCAAAATATCTCGGAACGGCGCGAAACGCACGGAGACAAGCGGACGGTGTGGGATCGGGTGTGTGAGGTACAATGGCGGCTGAGCACTGTTAAGCATTGGCTGTTGGATTGTCGGGGCTGTGTAGACCTGCCGGGAGTGAGTTACACATATTGAAGAAGCGCAGGGAACTCTATACATTAGCTGTTCCGCCACTCGCTACAGCGAGCGCGCCCCGTGCACTCCATTCAAGCTCCGCGGTACCACCGCGCGCTGACCATTCCCGCACCGCACCTTTCCAGTTGCGGCAGTCCCATACCTTCACCACGCCGTCGCGCCCCGCGGTTGCCATGTACCGCCCACCAGTACTGGGGTCCACTGCGACACTCGAAACAGGTCCGAGATGCGCCAGGAGCTGTACCGCGGGATGCGGCAGGTTCGGCGTCCAAAGGGTTACGCAGCCGTTCTGGTGTCCCAGATGGATAACGGCGTTGTGCAGATTTTGGGCCATTGCGCTGCATGAGCCAAACTTTGTGCGGTGCTCGACGAGGAGTTGACCTGTGGACGTATCCTGATATTTCAGGTACCCTGCGTTGCCCTGAAATTAGGATAAGCTAAAGCCAAAAGTGATCAGGGAAGTGAAACATACGATGCTCGCGAGAAGCCAGTGATACGGAAGGAATTCTAGTCGGGTAGGCTCAATGTGGGCCTTGAGACAGTGGAGCTCGACACCATCCCGGTCATAAATGAAAACATATTTCTTTTGAGCGACCGCAAAGTGCGAGTCGTCGTGAAGGAAGCTGTCCAGGAAATTAAATTTGAAGGAGTCGAGCTCGGTGACGGCACAGACGTTACATCGCGGCAGGTTTCCTGTAGCTGGAGCTCTGCGTGTAGTGTTCCGGTCAGCCAGTCAAACGTCGCGACATGGCCCGAGTTCCCAGCAAGAGCCAAATGGCGGCCATTACGCGTGTACCGGGAGCGGTACGGACCACCATCGAGCTTCCACTCTCTGCGGCCACGAGCAGCGTCTTGACCTGCATCAACTTCAATCTCGGACTGAGAGACGCGCCAGGTGCGCTCCAGCTCGCCCTCTGGCTGCATAACCCCTGCGTCCTCCGTGAGAAGCATCTCCGCGTCGTCCAACAGTGCCTTCGCGCGAGCTGAATGGGCCGCATTGCGGGTGAGCTCTGTACGCAATTTTTTGTTTGCAATGTGCTTGTATGGAAGCACATTTGGTTGCGGATTCTTGTCCCGGAGAGACTTTGGGACGGAAGTATGCTTTTTGAGAGAGTCCTGGGTATTGTCGTGGCTGTGAGACGTCTTGCGACGCTTGGGGTGAGGCTGAAGCGCGTCCGCCTTCGCGATAAGCGAGTCCATTTGGGCAGGAAGCAAAAGACAAATGTGGCTGTGTCTACTTTTCGAGTTCTTGCTCTCGTCCACAATGGCAGAATACGACCTCACGAAGAGGATCATGCCATACCTCGACCGCCATCTTTCATTCCCGCTTCTTGTCCATCTTTCGGAGACAAATCTCTTCGCTCTCAAAGACGTCCAACTTGCTCAGTATGAGCTTGCGAAGGGCACAAACATGCCTGACTATGCCGCCAACCTCTTTTCTCAGATACACCCCGACGATGAGGTCCCAGCTGGTACATGCTCCATTTTTTTCTTCCGCATCTTCTCATACTGTCCAGAATTTGAGGAAAAGCGCCGCAACACGTTATTGACACACCAACGCCTTCAGGACGAGGCACAGGCCGTCCTCGATGTCATTGAAAATCCCGACGTTGCCCAGGCCTTACGCCAGGACAAGGAGCATAACCTTCAGTACCTGAAAGACAACTATAACGTCGGCGATGCTTAACTTGCTTGTCTATTCAACTGACGTCCTAACAGCTCACCCTCGACCAAATCACCGCCCTCTACCATTTCGGCCAGTTTCAATACTCATATGGGTCCGTGAGTTGCCTCCTAAGCTACTTCTTATGTTGACATTTTCTGCAGCAATTACAGCGGCGCTGCCGACTACCTATACCATTTTCGCGTCCTTTCCACCGACACTGACCTTAACACCTCGGCCCAGTGGGGTAAGCTCGCCTCCGACATTCTCTCTGGCAAGTGGGATGCTGCCCTCCAGGAGCTCGACACCCTCCGTGAATCCATCGACTCTCGCGCCGTCCCTGGACCTGCCATAAACCAGTTGCACACTCGCACTTGGCTCCTTCACTGGTCCCTTTTTGTCTACTTCAACCATCCAGCAGGCCGCACTCTGCTACTCGAAACGTTTCTGTCTCCAGTGTACCTCAACACCATCCAGACAGCCTGCCCATGGATCCTGCGCTATCTCGCTGCTGCAGCCGTCCTCGCGCGCGCGCCGCCCCCTGGCGCGTCCCAACGCGTGCGCTCTGCGCTCCGGGAGGTTATTAAAGTCGTCCAGATGGAGGGGTACCAATATCAAGATCCGGTCACGTCCTTCCTCAAGGAACTCTATCTCGAGTTCGATTTTGAAGCCGCGCAGCGGGAGCTTGGCCTTGCCGAGCAAGTGCTCAGCGATGACTTCTTCCTTGGCGAGTTTGCCGCCGACTTCCTGGACAACGCACGATACCTGATTAGCGAGGCATACTGCCGGACACACCAGAAGATCGACATCCGTGACCTCTCTGAACGCCTCAACCTGTCTCCTGACGAGGGCGAAAAGTGGATAGTCAACCTCATCCGTGAATCGCGTATGGGTGCTGATGCAAAGATCGATTTAGATAAGGTGGGTTGCTCAGTTGATATTCTGGCTTCCCTGACTTTCTTCCTCTCCAGAACGTCATCGAAATCTTCCGGCCAGCGGTGCCCGTCTACCAGACCGTCATCGACAAAACGCGTGGTCTACACTTGCGGACATCTGGACTCGGCACCGCGATTTCGCGCATGGGTGCTGATGCAGCAGCTAGCAGCGACCCGACGACAGTAGCGGTGCGCTAAACGTTGGATATACAAAAGTACTTTTGCTTACATTAGTCTAACTGTGTGTACTGTATGTACCGCGCCAAGTATCTGGCATCGCGTGTAGGGAAAATGTAGCAAGAGCAAGTGCGCACATAAACTGAGTTTCAACGAATTCACTATGTCTGCTCTGTGATTACAAGCTTCTTGCGTTCCGCTTTCGGTTTTTCCAGCCCTACGCGTGTGTGCTTCCGTCTCCGATCTTCCTTGACCCGCTGCGCCTCCAACATCGTCCGCTTCAGTTTCGACGCTTGGTAGACTGGTTGTGGCAGGTGTCGACTCCGCACAACACGTCCGACCTCGGGGTCTATCTTCCACCGCATCTTGAGACTTTCGCGGTACTCGATTGCGGCGCGCTCGCGGCCGCCGATGACTCCTAGGCGCTCCGACGCTTTCGCCTTCCACACCCGCACATTCCCATCATCTGAACCAGAGAGTACGAAACGCGCGTCGGCCGTGAACAGCGCGGATGACACCCTAAGTAGCTTCAGCACCGAGAAAGGTGATATGAGATAAACACATACCGCTGCATCCGTTTTGTGTGGTACACCTCTGGGCTGTGCCCTTGTCCCTCCTTCCAGATGCGCACAGTGCGATCCCACCCACCGCTAACAAACTCCAGGCCTGTTGGAGCCCAGTCGCACGCCATCACAGCCGCAACGTGCCCCTTGTAAATCTGACTTGGCGTCGCAAGGTGGCGAATATCAAACGTGTAGAGGTTGTGATCTTCCGACGCCAGCAGCACAGTTGTCGGGAAGGTGGGCGACCATGAGAGCGCATTGCTGCTCATCTGCATCACGACGCGGCGCTCAGCTTTCCCTGTGCGTATGTCGTAGAGGGTGAAAGTGCGATCAGAGCCCACGCTGGCTAGGACCGATGTCTCAGCGAAGTTGAAGCGGACAGAGGTTATTGTTTCCGTTGACGTGGGGAAAGTCAGGTTGGAAACTGGGAGGCTTCTGCAGAGAAATGAGGCAAAATACTGAATGTGTTGTCAGTATGCGCACTTTGTTTCGTCCCAGATTTGTACGAGGTTCGATGCGGTTGCAAAAAGTGGGTCGGAGTTGTGGTGGTCAATGGAACTGAACCGCAATCATTCATAAAAGAATCTAAAAGCTTTTGAAAACGCACTTA